GTAAGATCATAATAATAAAGGTCATTAATAATATTGTTTTATCCCAAAAGAAGATTCACGGAGTACAAAAAGGGATTAGTGTCAATGAAGCTATGTGACAAAGAATTTGCACATGAAAAATGAAAATACAACAATTAAATAAGATCAATAGAAAGTAGTAGTAGGCATTAATTTTTTGTTTTGATTATTGAGATTAGGAAAGGATGATATTTCACAGAGGACAGAATCCTTAAATTTATCCTTTAAATAGAGTAGTACAGATAAATTTTTTTTAATATAAAAATAAACTATATTTTTAAATTATCAGTTGATATAAATTATTTATTATTTAATTATTTACGTCATGTGCTATGAAGAAATTCTTAATGATGGTTGAGGTTGACTTTTTAAACACATTAAAACGATCTTTAATTCTTTATGATTTGGTCCATTTGGACGTGACACAGTCCCATTTGTAGAAAATAATTTCTCCTTTTTTCCCTTCACCACGTGAGGGCCCATTGAAATCTTCAAAACTACCCGTTTAATCAAAGAGATAATTACGCTTGGACGGCAGTTTGGCGAATGGCCTGGGCGGATACGACTTTCATGTTCTCGCCTTTGGGGCCCTGCTTGTGGACTAAACTACTTCTTCGTGTCTTATATATTATTACTTCTTGTTGTTAATGTCTTTTAAAATTTTTATTTTAAATCAATATTTTTAAATTTAAAATTTATAAAAAATTTAAAAGTTAATAAGTAAATCACTTTTTTTTTATTTAAACAAATAATAATTATTTACAAGTATTAACTAAAAAATTAAAAAAAATGATTTTGTAAAATTCGAATATGTAACTCGTAAGAAATGAACAGTCCTAACTTAATATGCATGTTATTAGACTAGAGCGGGCCATTCAAGTAAATATCTTATTTAATTTTACTTTTATTGATAATTTATATTTTTTTATAAATTTAAAATTTTAAAAGACATTGATTAAAAATAAAAATTATGAAAAGCATTGACAATAAAAAACAATAATATTCAGATATGGTGCGGGGAGTTAGACCAATTATGTATGTTGAGAGGATTTGTTATCATTGAATAATATGGTACTAGAAAATAAAAATTATCAATATCTAAATACAACAATCATAAATACATGCCACTAGCTCTCTTCCTCAGTTTCTATTGAGTTGTCCATTCTCTTTACTTTTTTTTTGGTTAGTTGATGTAATTTCTTCTTGGTTGAGGGTTTTAGGTCAAGTCATTTAGCTATTTGAGGGTATGTGGGAAATTTTACTTTTTATTTTTTATTTTGAATTATATAATAGAAATAATATTTTCTCAATATTTCTTGCATATACTATCTATATATCATATAATTTGAAATTAACATTTTTTATTTTCATTAAAAAAATTATCATTAAATTATTTAAATCATTAATTATTTTTTTAAGTTAAAATATGTTGGTATGTATGTGAAGTCTGATTTTGTATATATATTTTTAATATTAATCTATTGATATTCAACAATTACATTAAAGTTTAATTAATTAAAAATCAAGTTGTATCATACTCCATAAGGGGAGAAACACTCTTAACCTCTGTTACTTTATTCGCAAGACTCAAACTCGAGATCTTGCTTTTACACTTTTGAGGATATTTTGTTAATTCAAAATTTGCATTCTTTTACAGTGGAAATTAAGGTATATAGTTTTTTTCTGTATTAGGGTTAAAATTGTCCCCTATGGTACTTTGAGAAGTTGTAATGAATACTTAAGGATTGCAAGTGAATTAAGGCATGATTAAGGCCATACTAAAAAAAGTTGAGGCCAAGCAAATATTATAATTTTTTCATAAACAATTAGTTATGGTATTTAACAATATTAATTTATAAATTTAATTTAATATATTAAATAATAAATATTAATAATTTTATCATTTATTAACAAACAATTATGATTATCAATTATTTTCAATAATTAAATTAAATTGAGTTGGTATTTTAAAAGATACTAGTATACAAAAAATAATGCGTCCTTAATACTTAAGGGTGGCCATAAGTTTGTCATGAGAAAGGAGTTGTTAAGCCTAAATTATTTTAGTTACTCAAGAACGGCCGTGCTTAGGCACTGATTAGTGATTACTCATTTTTTACTGTTTCAAAGATGTGTTTTTGGTAAAGGTAAAGGTGCGTCTTCAAGATAGTTTTGAGAAGCAATAGTTTTAAAAAATATAAAAGTTGACATAGAGACACTTAACAGTAAATAAAAAAAAATTAAGGGATATATTTTATTATTGTCTTAAAATACATGAAATATAATATAAGTTATAAAAATAAAAAAATAATAATAAAAGAAACAAATTTTATAAAGGTAAAATTTTTTTTTGAACTCTTCAACTTACCTCAAAATAACATTTAAATCCTAAACTTATCTAAAATAGCATTTAGATCCTTAAACTAAAAACAAAGTAAATGAGTTCTTCAACTCCATGACTAATGCAAAGAAGCCCTTATCATAAATGGCCCAAATGGCTAGATCTAACGTGCATTAATTTTGTTTGTTCTTTGACATGCGTTATTTTTTTGGATTTGACGATCCAAAATAAGCATGCAACATCTATGTGGAATAGTGCATGTTAGAGAACAAATAGAATCAATACATGTCAGATTTTGTCATTTGGGTCGTCTGTGATGAAGGTTTATTTGTACCACTCGTATAGTTTAAGGGTTTATTTGTTTTGGTTTTAGTTCAAGAGTTTACATGCTATTTTAAAGGAAGTTTAGGGGCTTAAGAAAGGATTTTACCTTTTATAGAACATCACATAAGTTAAGTTTTTTAAAATATTAAAATATAAATTTTATATTATTTATCAATTAATTTTTTAATTAATTAACACCCATAATATTGTACTATATATCACTTTATTTAATTACTGTACATAATTTATCCCATATTACTGGTCCAAAGATTAGTGCTAAATTTTCGTGGCTTTCACTACTCAAAACAGAATGCTTCGAAGCAAAATGCAAAATGTTAGGCAAAACATTCATCATCAACGCGTCAAAGGAATTAGACGTTCAACTGAAGCTCGGCACGGCACGGCACGGCACGGCGGTGGCATGGTAGTTGGGGACCTCTCTTCTTGCCGGCTAAGGAGTCACGTTTGGCACTTGCCGTCCTCAGCCCACGTGCATTTTTAAATGCCGCCACGTTGAATTTCTCACTTTTCTTCCGGCGCCAACCTCCACGCGCTCCAAAAAAACGCGCGTTAGACCATTCATCATTTGCACGAAAATTTTCTTCCCCATTTTTTTGACTTCAAATTAAAGAACCGCCAACCAGGACTAGTGCTCTTCAACGCTGTTCCCCTCTAAAAAAAAATAATATTTCCCTTAAAACAATTTCTGAAATTCTCCAGTTAATCTCTCCTCCTTCCAGCCTCTCGCTTTCCAGCTACTCATTCCGGAGCTGCTTTAAAGGCAGAATTTCAATTTCTCTCGTGTTAGGGTTGATTAATTCAATTGCCGGCGATGGCTCCGAACGATCCCAAGCAAGGCGGTGGTTTCTTCGCGTCGATCGCGTCCACTCTGACTAATTTTGGTAGCGCCATGACCAAATCAGTCAACGGGTATTAAGATCCCTACCCTAATTTTGCATCCGAGCTGTTGCTTTTGCTCGTATTTTTGGATCTCCTTTTTTGAGGCTTTTGGAATGGAGGAGTTACTTTGGATTCATTTTGTTTGAATATCTCGTGTCTTTGTGTGTCCTGTCAATTTCATGTTTCTTAATGGCTGATTGTCGAAATGACTTTGTGGATGTATCAATGTCTTAATCGTAGCTATGCACAACAGATCTGAGATTTTGAGAGCCGGTTTCGTACTTAGTGAGTTATCTTGTGCTCTGAAAAGATTGCTGTTTGTGTTTGGCTATTTAAATGTAGGAATTAGAATTGTATTGGTGGCTTAAAAATGGCACAATGCTACATGCAAAATATTAATTTTTAATGTCATTAGGTAGGCTTCGTATTTGTGCACTCTTAGAAGTTATAAGAGGTTTTAATATGGTCTTTGAAATTTTGACCAGGTTTATCATACTTTGGATTAGTTAATCTGTGAGTTGAAACATTCAATTTATTGACAATTTGGTATTATTGTTATCCAGTTTATTGGGTTATGAAGGATTGGAAGTTGTTAATCCAGAAGGAGGCACTGAAGATGCTGAAGAGGAAGCAAAGAGAGGAAGATGGAAGCAAGAGGTGACCTAATTTCTATGCATGTTATGTCTATAGAGGGAAAAAAAAAAAAAAAAGAACAAAAGTTATATCTAGTTGGTTAATATTCTCAAAGCCTTGGGATGATTTGATTGAATCCTCTTAAAGTCAGGGCTATTAGTATAGCCAGCTTTGCCTCCTAGCACTTTGCATACCTATCATTTATGGGCATTACCATGTTCTGCAATGAATACCCCACTGGATCTCATTTTCTCATATTTCTTTTATTTAGCTGGCATATTTTCTATGCAATGCATGTAATATCCATAAAAAAATGGAGAAAAGGGATCTTATTTGAATATGCATATGCACATTTGTTCCCTTGTATTATTCTGCATTGCAGGACAGGGACAGTTACTGGAAGATGATGCAGAAGTTTATAGGATCTGATGTCACATCAATGGTAACACTTCCTGTACTCATTTTTGAGCCAATGACAATGCTGCAGAAAATGGCTGAGGTTAGTGTTTCTGCAGTACAAAGTAATTGCTGCTATATTCTTATGGTATTATATTTGGTGTTGTTCTAATGGTTGGATAATTGAAATCTCATTGTCCATGCAGTTAATGGAGTACTCCTACCTGCTAGATATGGCTGATGAATGCGAAGATCCTTATATGCGATTGGTGTATTCTAGTAAGAGTCTGATCTCTGTGTGTGTGTGCACATGCGTGCATGCACGAGCAAATGTGAATTATTTACAATGTGGGACTCACAGTTGCCAATTGCAGCATCATGGGCTATATCTGTCTACTATGCATTGCAACGTACCTGGAAGCCATTTAATCCAATACTTGGTGAGACTTATGAAATGGTTAATCATGGTGGCATCACCTTTTTAGCTGAACAGGTGGGTCTTTTGGACCTAAGTCTTGCTCCATTTTCCTCTTTTTTATTTATTTTTTTTCCTTGAGGATTTTTAGTGGGGAAAAGACAAGTTTTCGTCCTTTTACATATGTCTGGGATTCTGTGGTGTTATTACTATTATTATTAGTAATTTCTTCATATGGTAGCCGGCTTGAGATCCTAATAATACATTGTCCTTTCAGGTTAGCCATCACCCCCCAATGAGTGCTGCTCATGCTGAAAATGAGCATTTCATTTATGATATAACTTCAAAGCTGAAGACTAAATTTTTGGGGAACTCAATTGATGTCTATCCTGTTGGAAGGTATTGCCAGTACAAGTTTATACTTCTTCAGTTCTTATATCTGATAGCTTGCACTATCTTTCACAACTTTTTGAACTCCATATTATGACTATAGTTGTGAGCATGTCTTCGAGATTTGCCCTTCCTACACACTATAATCAAAGCTCTTTTTTGATTTCCTGAAGTTTGAATAAAGGCACACTTTTCTTATTAGAATTCTAAAACTTGGAGGTACTAAAAAATGGTTTTTTTACCAAGCTTTGCCCATTGACCATACCCTCTCTCTCTCATGTCATAACTACAGGTTTAGTCTTCAACTTTTCCTTTTTCCACCAAGGACATGATAGCTTGTGTTATAGGTTACAAAACTTCAAGGGGAGGAAAGAACCTTGGTGCTGTGAGAGATATAATTATTGAGTGTACTTTAACTTCGATCTCAATGATTTCCCACCCTTCTCATTCCAGATTCATCTAGCTTTTCAATAGATCTGATAATTTGGTATTTATTTTAGTCTATCCTTGGACATGGTTTGAAGTTACTGAAAATCTCATTACTATAGTTGTGGATTCCACAGATGCCTACTTTCTAAAATAAATCTGCATGCAGGACCCATGTGACCCTGAAAAGGGATGGTGTAGTTCTTGATTTGGTGCCTCCTCTCACAAAAGCAAACAACTTAATCTTTGGACGAACTTGGGTTGACTCACTTGGGGAGATGATCATGACAAACCTGACTACAGGGGATAAAGCTGTTCTATATTTTCAACCATGTGGTTGGTTTGGGTATGATTTCATTCTTCCAAGTGTTTTTTTTCTTCAGTTTCTCTTTATATGATTCTCATTCTTGCTCATTTTAGTGCATATTTTCTTGTGTGGATCTTTTTCATCTTTAAATTATTCTTGTTGGTTGTAAGCAAGTTCCAGATCTGCCAAAATTTTTCATTTTTTGCCACGTTGCAGAAGGGTATCTATTAGAGGCAGCTACTGCATCTTACCCCATAGCTCATGAAGCTTGCTCCTGTTCTTTTATAAATTCTAATGATTGCTTAAAGACTTTTGGCTCCAGCAACTTGCTAATATTAGCTGGAGTTTTTGGTTAGTTTCTACTATTTCTTGCTTTAACACATCTGAGTCATTTCCAGAGCTGGACGCTATGAAGTGGATGGATACATATACAATGCTGCTGAGGAGCCCAAGATACTGATGACTGGGAAATGGAATGAGTCAATGAGTTTTCAACCCTGTGATGGGGAAGGAGAACCCCTTCCAGGCACTGAACTAAAGGAGGTTAGTCCCATTCAATATGTCCTGATCTCCAAGGTGGTTAATGTCTTTTGGCCTGCTGAGATGAATGCCCTCTATATACTTGTCCATTAGTCATTTAGTGCAATAAGAAACAGAACATTTAAATTTCTTTTGATGCACATTTGGTTCATAGTAATCTTCTTACCATCATTCCTTCTTCTCACCCCACCCATGTGCTTAGATTTGAACCCGAGGCCTCTTAACTAATCAAAGAGTAGCTTGGACCTATAAACTTCTTCCATATAAATTCAGTGCTGAAAAATCACAAAATGTGTCTGCCTTAATACCTTGACAAATGCTGCTTTTGATGTTATTGTCCAGGTGTGGAGGGTTGCTGATACCCCAAAAGACGACAAATTCCAGTACACCTACTTTGCACACAAGATAAACAGCTTTGATACTGCCCCCAAAAAGCTGTTGGCATCTGATTCTCGTTTACGCCCCGATAGATATGCTCTAGAGCAGGGTGAACTCTCCAAAGCTGGTTCTGAAAAGAGCAGGTCTCTCTCTCTCTCTCTCTCTCTCTGTTCTCAAAACTGGAATGGACTGGCCAGTCAAACAGGTTGACAGGTGACTGGTCATGAAAACAGTTCATTGGAGGAACAGTTGACTGGTTAAGTAGTCATACTCATAAAAAACTGTCATTTGCCTGGGCTTGCCTCTGCACACGTGTGGGTGTGGGAATCCTCAAAAGCCTCAAAAACAATCTCTGAAGTATTTGCTGGAAGAGATTGTTTTTAGGCTAGTTAATGGAATGAATCTTGCACATGGACTACTGATGGCATGCCATAAATGTGATTGAAACCTTTGTGCCTATATTTTCTCCTCAGGAGAGGGAAGAAGGAATTTAACTGGTGGAAAAGGTCTCCCTTATATATAGGCATTACAAGTGCATTCAATATAGTTTATGATCAGACTAACAGAACAAGATTTTATTTGCTTGAACCGGTACAGTATGTAATTTCTTAATTTTGTCTGTGTTTTCAGTTTGGAGGAAAGACAGCGAGCTGAAAAGAGAAACCGAGAAGCAAAGGGCCATCAATTCACCCCAAAATGGTTTGATCTTACAAGTGAAGTCACCCCAACACCTTGGGGTGATCTGGAAGTGTACCAGTACAATGGCAAGTACACTGAACATCGAGCTGCTATGGATAGCTCAACAAGCGTTATAGAGATTGATAATAGGTCAACTGAATTCAACCCCTGGCAGTATGAAGATCTTGCTGCTCAATAGAGCATACCTTCGTGTGTTTTATATTTTTTTGCCATTTGCCTGTGTAATATATTCTTTTTATATCTTCTATTCACTTGTTTTAGTAATTTATCAATTATGACAGAACAATTAGAATACAAATTATCAGTTCTTTCTTCTTCACATTTGTTTGATTTTATTGTTGTATAATTATCTCATTTTTTGGTTCATTATCAATTAATTTTTTCTTTTGAAAATGAAACTGGAAACGGTAGAAAAAGAAAATGATTTTGAGATAATTTTTTTATTATTTTTTTGTATAACTTAACGTATTATTTAAATAATTAATTTTTTTATTCATATGAAATTTGTGATATTAAGTATATTTATACGTGAAAGTTATATTAAAAGATGATATAAAAAGATTATGAACCGTTAGTAGAAAATGGAGATCCCGAACGCAAATGAAAAAATTGCTTTGAGATGGGCCTGAGCTAAACGCAAAAGCTTACAAAAATGACTTGGTCCCTGGACGTAAATGAAAAAATTGCTTTGGGATGGGCCTTAGCTTAACGCGACGAGCCTACAGAAATGATTTGGCCGCCGGACCCAAACTGCAACTGCTCCTAAGCATGTAATTGGAGTTAAGGTGTATTTTTATTTTTGATGGTAGGTTCAAACAATGGTATGGGCAAATGTGATACCTGTGAATGTATCTAATCTGATTATCTAACTTGTTTATATGACTTGTTCTTTTTTATTTTTTGGTACATAAGAAGTTAAACAACACTAAATCCTAAGGAATAATGATCCTATGCTGTCTCCGTGGAGAATACTTTGCATGCCCGGAGGTGGCGTCTGGAAGAAGGTAATGCCTCGATTAAGGTTATGGCCAACAGATGCCATAAAGTCAGCTGCAGAGTTTCCTTCTCGCAACGTGTGCTGGATTGTTTTATTGGTTTATTCAGTCTATTACATATGGGTACTGCATATTTAAGTCTTCTATTGACTTATAATGTACTCCGCAATACGTTGGGGTCATTTTATTTTATTTTTTATTTTGGTTGTATAATGAGAGATAATTATTTTTAATTTTTTATCACATTTTATCTACATGTCATACAACTTAAACTCAAAAATTTTTACTTTTAACGAAAAAAGATGACTATTAAATTACTTAAGTCATTAGTATGTTAAGGTATATTTTAATTTGTATTTAGAAGTTATATTCGATGTGTATAACTGTTGAATATATTTGTACCCATGGGGTTGAATACCTAATATCAAAAACTAACAAATACGCCTATTTAATAAATGTACTTAGTATTTCTCAAAAAAAAAAAAATAAATGTACTTAGTAGAATTGTTGGTGAGCCGTCTTCTTGGTGGAGAAAGGCTTTGATGTTGTCGTATTGTCCTGTCAATTATTTTCTTATTTTACTTTGGTCCATGAGTTAGTGGCTAGCTTTAAATATAGTATATTATGCATTGAATTGATATCCCTGATATCATAAAACAAGTTGCAGGTGTTTGGCTTTAGCGATGATAATGATATTTGAGATTTGATGGCTTTAGTTGTAGACCAAAGTCTCTATTTTCACCTTCTTCTTCTTTTTTTTTTTTTTAAACAGTGTGAAATCTTTTTTTCTTGGGGAAGGGGGAATGGGGGATTTGGGATTTAATCCCAAGTTCTTGTAGTCCTACGCACGTCCCTTGCAAGGGGGTGGCCATTTGGCCACCGAGTGCGGGACCTCTATTTTCACCTTTTATTTATATTATTTTTGTGATCAATATTTTTAAAATTTTTTTTCTTATTCACAATTTCAATTTTTCAAAACTCATGAAAAATTTAATATTTTAATGGATCGTAACAAAAATGTTAATAACCGTTAAAAATTATAATACGTGGCATCAAACAGTAACATGAACGTTATATCACTTTATTAATCCAATGTGGACTTTTTTTTTTTTAATGATGTGGCATAATTAAATCATAATTAATTTTAATTTCTTCATTTATTTCTTTCCCAGCATCATCTTTACCATCTTCCTCTTCATCCTCCTGAGTTCCTCATGGAACTAGGAACCCAGGACGTTATGTCACATTTATTAATCTAATGTGGATTTTTTTTTTATAATGTGTTATACTTAAATCATAATTAATTTTAATTTCTTCATTTTCTTCTTTTCTGACATCATCTTCACCATCCTCATCCTCATCCTCCTAGGTTCCGCTCTGAGTTCCTCATTAAACCCAGTTTCATATGAATGCCTACCAAGCTAAGATCTTCATCCACACAATTATAAGTAAATGAATACTACACAAAAACATGATATGTATCTTCCACCCCTTTCCCACAAAAAAAATGAAAAAAACCCTTATTACCATTCATATTAATTCCATTTGAACTCAAATTGGCAACCTGTTTAGAAACAATCTCCAAGCTAAAAAACTCACATTTCCAACAAAAAAATTATTTCAAATTGCTCTGCATAAAATAAGAAACTAAGATAAATACATTCAAAATAAAAAAAAAATGGTCGAAACCCAGATATGGGTTCCGTGCAAGAACCCAAAATCTGGGTTTTGTAGAACCCATTGAGAAGAGGAGAAGAGGATGGTGAAGATGATGCCGAGGATGAGGGGGAAAGAAAAAGATGAAGAAATGCCACATCATCAAAAAAAAAAAAAGTCCACATTGGATTAATAAGGTACCATAATGTTCATGTTACTGTTTGGTATCATGTATTACAATTTTTTGTTGGTCTCACTATACATGTGGCATCCACTTATGTAAAAAGTTATGCCATGTCATCAAAAAAAAGTTCACATTGGATTACTAACGCCAAATAGTGCCATGTCAATTTTTGGGTTCCACATAGTGCATCTTTTAACGATATTGTGACAGCCCGTTAAAATATTAAGTTTTTCACGGGTTTTGAAAAATTGAGGGTGTGAATAAGGAAGAAAAATGTTGAAAGGTGTTGACCGCGAAAATGATATAAATGGAGGGTGCAAATAGGGGTTTTGGCCTTAGTTTTAATACATTGATGAATTTTGAATTGGCGTATGTTCCTTGGATTATATGCTAGGCTACTTAAGCTAGCAGCGTAATTTATTTGATGGTCCCCGTTCATCTCTATCAGCCGCTTCCTTTGGATGTATCTTACTCTTCTGGTGATCCAAAATTGATAATTAAGAGAATCCTTATTGAAAATTTAATGATATAATTATACATACAGGATATAAGAACCTGTTGAATTGATTGTATTTATATTATATTTTTAATGACTAAACCAAGAGTGTGTCAAAAAAATGTTAAACCGATGGTGTATCAATCATTTTCCTATATCTATACACATACATATATATATATATGGTTTTCAATGAGAAAAAAGTGTCTGTCAGCCTTACCTCTTAAAAATTAGAAGAAAAATCATTCTAAAACTACATTATTTCATATATATATGGTTTTCAATGAGAAAAAAGTGTCTGTCAACCTTACCTCTTAAAAATTAGAAGAAAAATCATTCTAAAACTACATTATTTTAATAAATTTTTATTGAAAAATACTAAATTATCATATTTTTAAAGTATGTATTAAGGTGATTTTTGTCTTTTTTTCTCTTAATTTTTTGGAGGTAAGACGGATAAACACTAACTCCTTTCAACAATTAATTAAAGTGTTTTTGAATTAGTTTGTACTTTTAAAAAATTCAAATTAGATTTTCTTATTAGATATTTTTTTAAAAAATTTAAAACATGAACTTAACTTCCAAAATCATACTTATTAACTAGTCTCTTAAAGTTCTTTTTATCATATATTTAACTTTTTTTAGACGTAGTACATCACACTAACAAGTGAACCTTAAACATATTCATTGTTAAAATGGATGGAAATCGAATAAACCTAAAAGATCTAGTGATAATCTCTTTTCCACTACTATAAAACCAAACAAACAGCGGAATTATTAAATTTTAGGTAATGTGCTGATCACATTTTACTGTCATCTTCCACGAAGGTTCCTTTGTTGCAGCTCTTATAAATTAAATACGTACATAATGATTTGTTTGTAGTGAATTAACTATGCTTAGTCTCTGCGGATAATAAAAAGTATGCTTAATCTTACTCGAGCAAAAAAGAAGAAAAGTGTGTAGCCAATTAATTAATTAGATCCATATAATTAACATCATTTTGGTGGCTAGCACATGGTAGATGGGGATTCTTTGGCACCTATACAGTCCAACGTATAATTCACGATCATGATCCTCAATTAACTATCCGTGATTCTCTGCTTGATTTTTATGATTATACAACTAATGATGGGCTGTTCTGAAGCTTCAAATGTGTGTCCAATTTTATATAACCTCAAGGGTGGTGCTATATAATCAATTTTTTTATATCACTTTTTAATATAATTTTTA